TCATCGATATATTAAAATCAAATAAAAAAATAGACAACTCAAAAGAAGGCAGGAAGGAACAGACAAACAAAATACAGAGGGACAAAAAGAAAACAAATAGTAGACCTAAAATAAAAATAATAGACCTAAATTCAACCATATCAGTAGTTTATATTAAATATAAATGGTCCAAACATACCAATTAAAGATGAAGAGTATCCTACTGGTTAACTACACCACCACCCAAGACTATGCTATCTGTAAAAAACAAACAAACCCACTTTAATAATAAACACATAGATGGGTTAAAATAAAAGGACAGGAAAAGATATACCATGCAAACAATAAGCAAAGGAAAACTTAAGTAGCTATCTTATATATCACACAAAGCAGACTTGAGAACAACGAATATTACCAGGGATAAAAAAGGACATTACATAACAAGAAGCTCAATTCATTAAGAAAACATAATACTCTTAAATGTACATATACTTAACAACAGAGCTTCTAAACATCTTAAGTAAAAGCTGACTGATGTGAAAAGAGAAATAGACAAATCTACAATTATAGAGAATTTAACACTCCACTCCTCTCTCAAAAATTAACACAACAAGTAGACAAAAAATCAGTAAGAATATGGAAGACCTAAATAACATCAACCAACTTGACTTAAATAACATACACCAAACACTCCATCCAACAACAGCAGACTACACATTCTTTTTAAGTGCACACAGAACACCCAATGACATGCACCATATTCTGGGCCAAAAAAAAAAAAAAAATCTGATAAATTTAAAAGAATTGAAATCATACAAAGCATACTGTTTGACCATAATGAAATTAAACAAGAAATCAATAACTGAAAGATATGTGGATAATCCTCAAGTATTTGGAAATTAAAGAACACATTTTAAACAACTTGTGGATCAAAGAAATCACAAAGGAAATTCTGATTTGAGTGATATGTTATAAAGATACAACACATCAAAATTTGTAGGTTGCAGTGCTTAGAGGGAAATTTAAATTTATGCCTAACAGGGGCACCTGGGTGGCTCAGTTGTTAAGCGTCTGCCTTTGGCTCAGGTCATGATCCCAGGGTCCTGGGATAGAGCCCCACATCGGGCTCCCTGCTCCGCAGGAAGCCTGCTTCTCCCTCTCCCACTCCCCCTGCTTGTGTTCCCTCTCTCGCTGTGTCTCTGTCAAATAAATAAATAAAATCTTAAAAAAAAAATTATGCCTAACAATACTTAAATTTTTAAAAAAGTGTTTCTAGTCAATAGTCTAATATTCAACTTTATAAAACTAGAAAAAAAGAAAAATAAGTCCAAAGTAAGCAGAGGAAGGAAATAATAAAGAACACAAATAAATAAAATTGAGAAAAGAAAATTTAAATATATAAGTGGTGTTATAAAAGATCAATAAATTAGAAAAAGACATAGGCAGGTAGACTCTACAAAGGTCAGCAATGATCCCCACCCTCTTGTTTTTCACACCTTTGTGCAATTCCCTCTCCTTGATTGTGGGCAAAACCTGTGATTTGCTTCTAACCAACAGAATATGGGATGTTCTGTTCTTCTGCCTTCTCAGTTTATACGCTCTGATGAAGCAAGATACCACACTGCAGAGGCCCACATGACAAGGAATTGAGGGTAGATTATGAACTTTGCCAACAAGCACATGGTTTTGGAAGTAGATCCTTTATCAGTCTAGTATTCAAACTGAGACGCCTACCTCTGGCCAAGACTTGAGTGCAGCCTTATGAGAGATCCTGAAGCAGAGGACCCAGCTAAGTCATGCCCGAACTCTCCAAATTCTGACCTGCAGAAACTTTCAGATAGTAAGTATATGCTATTTTAAAGTCACTAAGTTTGTAGTAAACTAGCTATGAATATACAGATTATGAAGACTTAAACTTTGACTCTTACATAATTCACACAAGAATTAACTCTACGAACTTGTTATGCAGCAATACGTACGTACCTGATCTAAGAGTGAAGACACAAATTACCAATAACAAGAATGAAAGTGGAGACATTACTACAGACCTTACAGAGAGTTAAATGATAATAAGGGAATATTATGAACAACTTTATGCTTATACAATTGGCAACTTAGGTGAAATGGACAAATTCAAAGACACAAACTGCCAAAGCTTGTTGAATAGTCTTGTCTGTGTATGTGTGTGTGTGTATAAAGGTACAAAGATGCACTCTCTCACATGTTCTCTCCCTCTCCCCCTTCCTCCTCTCTTCTTCAGTTTGTTTTAAAGAAATTAAGTATGTAGTTAAAAACCTCCCAAAAAAGATGCCACAGCATGGTTTTGCTGTGTAATTCTATGAAACATTTTAAAGGAAAATAATACTAATTCTACACAAGCTCTCCCAGAAAAGTGAAGAGGAGAAAACACTCCCCAACACATTTATGAATATGGCATTACCTTGATACAAAAACAAACAAAAAACATTATAAGAAAACTACAGACCAGCAAATTGAATCTAGTACTGTGCAAAAGGCTAATACATTATGCAAAGCTCATTGAACACACAAAAATCAATTGATGCAGGGGTGCCTGGATGGTTCAGTCAGTTAAGCGTCTGCCTACAGCTCAGGTCATGATCCTGGGGTCCTGGGATCAAGCCCCCATCAGGCTCCCTGCTCAGTGGGGAGCCTGCTTCTCCTTCTCCCTCTGCCTCCCCACCTTGTACTCTCTCTCTTTCGTTCTATCTCAAATAAATACAATCTTTAAAAAAAAGTCAATCAATGCAATTCACTATTTCAACAGATCAAATAAGAAAAACCATATAATCATCTCAATAGATGCAGAAAAAAATTCACTTGACAAAATTCAACATCAATTCATGACAAATACTCTCAGCAAACTAATAATAGAAGGGTATTTTCTTAACCTGATAAAGGGCACCTACAAAAAAACCTACAGCTAATATCATACTTCGCGGTGAAAGACTGAATACTTTCTCCCTAAGACTGAGAACAAAGCAAAGATGTTCTCACCACTCCCATTTATCATCATACTGGAGAGCCTACAGTGAGGAGAGAATACAATATGAATATAAAATAAAACGCCTACAAAAAAAGAAATAAAAATTATCTCTGGTCACAGATAACAAGATTAGCTACATAAAAAAATTCAAGGCATCCACAAAAAAGATACTAGGAATTTCCTTAAAGAACTATAGGGAGGGATGATGACATCTGTATATAGTACCATTTAAAAGAACTGCATGGCTATTTCTAACCTGTATGAGATCAGCATTCCCCTATCCCCTTTTCCTTTGGAAGATTCTAGAGAGTGAATATTTCTTTTTCATAACTGTGACTATGATTTCCTTTTATTCTTCCCTGCATTACTACTCAGTTATCTTCATCTATCTTCTCTTCCTCACCCCCGAGGTTAGCGTCTACAGGAAAGAAAAAAAAGAGCAAAGTTTATTCTATTCTACTTTCCTCTTTCAATTAGATCCCCTCAGGGAAACCAAAAGTAGAACAGTCATAATAGTAACTTCTTGGCTACAGAGAGTCATCTAGATTTAAGGGGAACCGGGAAATCATGCTATCTTTGCCTTTTTATCACAAGGGGAGTCTCTCTCTTCGGGTGAGAAGCAGACCTTCGCTGAAGAGCAGAAGATGCAAGGGGATGGAAGAGATGATGCTAAGATGGGTGCTGGGAGGGACAATGGGGTAGAACAGGAACAGGAGGTCCAAGTAGCCCCCATGAGGCACAAAAGGATTTAGAACGGGGAATGCTATACTCTCATTAGCCCAATTCTATGGGGACTGGAAGCCGGGTCATTGCAGGCTCTACAGTAAACATAGAAATCGACGGAGAATATTCCTCCAGGTCGGGTTTGGGGAGGCTTTCATACACACAGATTAGAAGAAGGAGACACTGTTAGTAAGGGAAACTCTGAAGTATATGTTTTTCTAAATAATGCCAACAATGTGAACATCTGATGGTGCTAGGGGCCACTTCCAGTGTCATAGGGTGTGAGAAACTGCATCATTTCCCACACATCGCCACCATCCATGTGCTGTAACCTTTCAAAGGACGCCATGTCAATAGAAAGGGTGGTTCTTTAGCTTTTCCACTTATTCTCATCCCCATAATGGTCATCTTCAGTTTATAAAGGAATAATCAAGAAGAGACAAGCTCCTTTATTCCTCTTTCTTCCTCCCAAATCATTGGTTTTGATCCTTGGACCTTAATTACCTGTCACCAAATTTTTAAAGAAATGTAAACGAGGGCACCTGGGTCGCTCAGTGGGTTAAGCGTCTGCCTTCCACTCAAGTAATGTTCCCTGGGTCCTAGGATTGAGTCCTGCATTGGGCTCCCTGCTCAGCGGGGAGTCTGCTTCTCCCTCTCCCTCTGCCTCTGCCCCTGCTCATGCTCTCTCTTAAATAAATAAAAATCTTTAAAAAGAAATGTGAACGAGGATGAGGTGGATGGAGGTCGTGATTGCACATGTCTGTGAAGGCTGGACAAGACAAATGCTAGAACGTGAATATGAGTCAAACCAGCCATTGTCTGTGGAAATCACCACATATATTAACTACTTTAAGCAGTTTCATTAACTGACTCTCCAGCTGTAAATATCCTAGAACTCTGCTGAAATATTTTATTTCACTTAAGACCTAAATGCTCTAAGAAGCTTCTACCATAGCTACTGCCTCGAAATGATTTAAAAGAAACTTGTGTTATATTAAAAAAGTATTTGTTTCTATTATTTAGTTACCCCAATTTACTTAATACATTGTGATGTGTTTGCTATCCCCCTCTCAGAGATCCCACTCAAACGTCAATACCATTCTCCACATATCTCTTAAGTCTCATGAATGTCATATGGATACAAAAGACTGAAAATGTCATTGTAGAGACCACACAAAAGGTATTCAAAAATGAGATTTTCTTTGGCTTGAAATCATCAAGCACCATGCTCTTTGAAGTTAAATACTTCCTACCTCACTTGTTTCGTCAGAATTAACACAAAAGGCACACTTACCAACCAGAACGACAAGTCTGTATTTTTCGTTCATTTGCCGCCGATACGGTGTCACTTCCTCATATGTGGGTACATCAGCTGTGTCGTACTGGTCACTCTTCTTGCATTCATACATGGACTTATTTGTTTTCTTATCTTTTCTACTAAGACGGAAACTTCTCCTAAACCCAGCTGCAAAAAAACATATATATATATATATATTTAGTAATAAGAACTAAAGAAAGAAACCCCCAAAAATGAACAATTAAAAAACCTTCAAAGTTGGATTGGATTTTACGAACCCAAATATTGTCACAGTACATTTAGTAAAACACCTAGATACTACACAATTTCATTAAAACAACCATTTACAAGAGAATCCTTGAACATTTATTTTTATAGTTATATTAATATATATTTTATTTGGTTCCAAACCATAAAGAATTATTCTCTGAATTCAAAGAGTAAAATAACCGCATAATAAAGCAAAATAAGTTGGAAATCATAGTTTATCATGGACTGACTGAACACAGTTGATAAAAAGTTAAAAGCACTGTAGAAACATTTAAAATATAAATGCTGAATTCTCTCATTCATAAATACTAGAATATTTTATATTGTATTGTAAGCACAACCTAACAACATACCTGTGGCACAGACAAGCATCTATTCTTAAACAAAAAGGAAACTAAATTAGGGAGAGCTCAGTTTCAAACATGCCAAACATGGATCAGGCCAACAGAAGAGCAAGTTCTTTGGCTTTTATGAGACTCCAGTGTGGGTTGGGGGTGGGGGGCATAAATGATCAAGTCCAGGTTCTTGTTCTCCTATGGAAAAGTCCATGGCTTTACACTTTGAAGCCTACTGAATTTTGGAAATAAGATTCATAGTCTCACGTGTATACTCTTATCAACACATCATATGATCTCTTCCTAAAATAACTGTACAAGTACTTCAATAAATTTAAATGCTTAAAGCTCACAGCTGTCATTTAACACATGGGCTTAAAAAGCTGAGGCAAAGGTTCTTTTTTCCCGTCAACCCCCATTTCATTCGGCTTGCTCTTCATGTTGTTGCACTGTTTGGGATTTATTTCCTTTCTAGTGATGTTTATCACACACAGTATGATTTCATCCATATATACACACAGTATGAATTTGGTAAGATGTGCAATCAATTTTCGACCTAACCAACCCTCAAAATCCAGACTTTAAGGAAAACTGTTCTGGTTATTGAAACATAATATATATTCATATCAGCTCCATGGTACAAAGCATTTTAAGTATATAAGAATATATTCTCTTGGAAAAGAATTTTTTTTTTCTTTTGGAAAAGAATGTAGATCAACTGTGATAAGTGGTAAAAAAAATTTTAAATAGAGGTATTTTATAAAAAAAATGCAAGAATGTACCTCTGAAACAAATAACACATATGTTAAAAAAAAAAAAAGCAGGAAGGGAAAAATGAAGAGGGGGAAATCGGAGGGGGAGACGAAACCATGAGAGACTATGGACTCTGAGAAACAAACAGGGTTCTAGAGGGGAGTGGGGTGGGGGGATGGGTTAGCCTGGTGATGGGTATTAAAGAGGGCACGTACTGCATGGAGCACTGGGTGTTATACGCAAACAATGAATCATGGAACACTACACCAAAAACTAATGATGTAATGTATGATGATTATCATAACATAATAAAATAATTTTAAAAAGTCAAAAAAATGCAAGAGTATTAAAACTGATCTGTGTGAATTTTAGGGGCCAAAATGAAAAAAAAAATACTACTACTGCATTTAAGAAATTAACAGGATTCAAAATAAAGGCCAATATTAAAAACAATTATCAGTAACCATGGAGTTATAGCACTCACCTTATGGATTCACAGTTTAATAAAAATCAGCCAAGATACTAAGAAGAGGGTGATACAAGGTTCATCTGATAATAGAATTTTGTGGCCCACCACGAGTCATTCTGATTTTGAGCAGGTACGCAGATTATTTGAGGGAAAAGATTTACAAAGGATTTGAGACGAGAGTTCATCACTCTAAAGCTCTCGTATTGAAGGCAGAAGGCAAAAAGGAAAAGGAAAACAGGCCAAGGAATAAAACACTGATATCTCTCCAAGAAGGACGAGATTCAGAGGAAGCAAATGGGGACTGTGCCCGCCTGGCCCTAGGATGAAGAAGTGTCAATTCTAAAACCACTCAGGCAGGCAGAGTTCAAATTTCTATATAAAGGGTCAGAGGGAAGCTGTTTATTATTATTTCTCTTGTGTTTTTTGGGATATTGGGAAAGACTCACGAGAATGCCAGAAAAGGGTTCCCCTACATGGGAGTCCTCGCAACGCCAACCCAGAAGTGGGGGGATCCTTACAACCACTCCTAGTGCTTGAACGCGTGCTTCTCAGACAACTCTCTTACCAATCTGCATCAGTGATGCCATCCCAACCCCACCCCATCTCTGTCACCTGTAACGGCTGGCCTACTCCGGAATCCATCATAAGATGGCTTCCGGTTTGGCACAAAAATTACACATTAGCTATTCTAACTCTCCGATGCTGGTATTTCAGAGTGTTCAAATTTCAGGTTCCCACGGTTCTTGTCTCATGGAAGGCAATTATAGGATAAGCAGGTAGAACTGGAAATTTCCTCACGGTTATTCTTTTCATGGAGGGAGGGTTTTCCTCAAGTCACTACAAACTTATGGCCCAGGAATGAATCTAACCAGGATAGAAATATTTCATCCAAAGCAAATGAAGTCCAAAAGTAAAAACCTGAAAAATTTCTGAGCCACGAATCCCAGCTAAATCCTGAATTTTAGTGCAAGTGTACCTAATTGAGTTTTTGTTTTACAATTAACTTAAGTTTTTGCTTTCATTAAAAACGAAGAGATAGTGGGGAAAAGAGTGAAGGTAATCAGATGTCTGATGTGAGGTTGTCTGGACATCAAAGATGGGAACCATGGCCCATAGGATGGTTTGGTGATATTTGTTGTCCAGTGCTTGGTACAGAATAGGTGCTTGATAAAAGTTTTATAAATTCAAGTAATTTAAAAAGGCCAGAACAAAACCCTACTTCACCTCTCTTTCATTATCTTACTGTAAATTTCAACAAAGAAAGCAGGGCACATTTGGTATTTTCACAAGAGAAAATTCTAAGAGGCAGGCCTAACGACAAAACATGGCATACACAAAGGCACAGACCTGGAAGGAACTCTGCAGACCCTCCTGGCCCGCGACATCCTTGCTCCCGGCCACACGGATGGCACAGATGTCACACACCTGCCCATGCACCGTGACACGGTCCTGATCTCATTCACGTCACTATTCCAGGTGGCAATGACTGAGCAACTAGAATTCCCACAGGCTGTGAAGCTTAAGTGTCCTGACCCAATATGCTCACTTACAAAACTAAGGAAAAATGGCTGATCACCACACCACGTCGATTAGAGCAGCAATACTGAGTGTTAAAAATTGAGGACCAGGGTGCCTGGGTGGCTCAGTTCGTTAAGCGACTGCCTTCGGCTCAGGTCATGGTCCCGGAATCCTGGGATGGAGCCCTGCATCAGGCTCCCTGCTCAGCGGGGAGCCTGCTTCTCCCTCTGACCCTCTCCCCTCTCATGCTGTTTCTCTCTCTCTCAAATAAATAAGTAAATAAATAAAATCTTAAAAAAAAAAAATCGAGGATCAGAGGCGCCTGGGTGGCTCAGTCAGTTAAGCATCCAGCTCTGGGTTTTGACTCAGGTCTGATCTGAGGGTCGCGGGATCCGGCCCTGCATCAGGCTCTGCGTTCAGCGTCGAGTCTGCTTCAGATTCTTTCCCCTTCCCTCTGCTCCTGCTCCCCCTCACGTGCTTGCTCTCTAAAATAAATAAAATCTTTAAAAAAATTTTGAGGACCAGAGGTGGCCAGGTCTGGGTTAGCATCTAGATTCTGACACCAGCTGTATGATTTCGCCAACTTTTTATAAACTTCTCTAAGGCTCATTTCTCAACTTTAAAATGAGGATAAGAGTATCTACCTTACGCGGTTGTTAAGGATTAAACAAACAATTCACATAAAGCATCTGGCCCAGTACCTGGCATATGGTAAATACCTATAATTAGCTATAGATTAGTACTTGATTATGTCTCCAACTAACTGAAAGTACCTGGAAGGCAGGAATATATACCTCCTTGTATTCCCCCAGCATACAGTCTCACAAGAAAGGGAAAAATAAGGGGCTTATTCATAAGTGTTTAAATGGCTGTTATAAAAGAACAATATTTAAATATAAAGAATATTAAAATTACAGCCAGATTTAAATGTTAAATATTAAAACTACCTATTAAAGTAGTAAAGCATTTTAATGAATCATAACAGAAAAATTTAGTATGCACTATCCTTTCACTATTTTTTCTCCCCAGATACTCTAAGGATATATGTTATTTCTGGTACCATATTTAAATTTAAAGAGCCTCCTTCCTTTTGTCTTCTTACTTATCATGACCATATACTCTCCTGATCCACAGATCCTGTTTACTTTCCATATTTATAGCACTCCATACACATAAGTACACAGGATAAAAAAAAAAAAAAAATCCTCAACCCAGAGGAACCAATAAAGCCAGAACAGAGGATATGACAAAAGGCACAAAATTCAGAGTACTTGCTTGTGATGGTTTCTCAAACCAAAACAACAAAACAGGCTGTCTTCCTAGAATCTGTCCTCCACGGGAAGTCCGGGATGATAGCTCATTTGGCATGCCGTTCAAGGCTCTGATTTTCAAACCTGGGTCACATAATGAGCTATGTGTCAGCACACACCTTAGTAAGTCTAAGCTTAAAGGAGACTTAACTGTGTCTGCAAGAGGCGATTTCTTCCCTTCAGCTTTTATGTGGTTCTCTTATTAAAAGGAAGATTTAAAACTGTATACTTACACTGAGCGTAAGCAAAGGGTTCGTTCAGGTAAATGTGAATAAATAACCCAGAACCTACTGAATCCCCATTCATTTTCAATGCACACGTCTTACCAAGAGCTGGCTTTAAAAGAAGGGAAAAGGAACGGTAACGAGGAATTTGGAGTAAGGGACAGTTTTACACAAAATATATTTTTCCTTATATTTCACATTTTTGTAATTTATAATTGGCTCAACATTTTTATGGACAGGGTTTTTCCAGTGAGCTTACCCACAGCTGTTAGAGATTTGTGTGTTTTAA